TCTCTCTCTTTGAGAGTTCCATCTCTCTTTAGCAGTTGACCCTTCTTAACTTCGTGCACCTGCCCCCTTCCCCCCTGGTCTGGTCTGGTACACTCTTGCCCTGGCAGCACCTTCACTCGTTCGTGGTTCGTCTTTCCCTCCCTTCACCCCTCCACACACAAGCACACGCACACAAGAACAGCAGCAGCAGCAGCAACCCCCCTTCGTGCCTCCCCCCGCCTCAGGTCCACGGTCGACACCATCTTCGCGGGTCTGGCCCACAGCGGGCTGTACCAGGGCACCCTGCTGCCGGTGCTGTCCACGGACCGGCCGCTGCGGGAGGCGCTGGCCATCATGGACCGACTGGACGCCGCCATACTGCCGGACTCCACACGCAAGGTTGAGAGGAGCAAGGTACGGAGGGGCGGTGGGGCGGAGCAAGGAGGGGCGGTGCTGAGGGCGGGTGGTGGGTGGGAGTGGGAATGGGAGTGGGGTGGGAGTGGGAGTGGGAGGGAGGGAGATTAGTGGGAGGTGGGGAGGTGTCTAGGGAGGGGTGAGGGAAGGTGATGGTATGGGGTGGAGGGAGAACACCGGGGGAGAGGGGAGGAAGGTGAGAGGGGAGAGGTGGCTGAGGAATGAATGGTTTGTGCGGGTTCTCGATACACGTGGGGGAGTCGACACGTTCTCCCATAACCCTTGTCTCCCGTCCTCGCCGCTGCCACACACCCCGTGTCACCCCACCCCCCTCTTGCGCCTTGTCCCTTATCACTTCTTTTTCACCCGTTTCTCCCCCCCGCCTTCCCCGTTTGTCCTTCCATCCTTTCTCCCCCCCCTCTGCACACACACGCGTGTGTGTTTGTATGTATGTATGTATGTGTGTATGTATGTACATAGCTGCTGTTTGAGCGGCATCTGGACGTGAACGCCATCGTGTCAGGTCTGCAGAAGAAGCGACCCAACCGCATGACACCAAAAATGTTCGCCCACAGCCTGCAGAGCATGTGCAGGTATAGTAGAGGGTGGGGGTGTTGTTGAGGTGGTGGGAGGGGAGGGCCCCTTGCGATGGGGAACAAAACACGGTGTGCGTGCGTGTGGTGATTGCTTCCTTGTCTTCCTTTGTTGGCAGAACGGTACAAATACAAACACACACATCCCTTTCACCACCTCCCCACTCCTTTCACTCCTTAAATTCACGGTTCGTCGTTCAACCTCCTGATTACTACCATCATTTTCCTCCGCCCTTCACACACTCTCACACACACTCACACACTGTCTCACACACACACACACTCTCACACACACTCATACACACATTCACACACACATTCACACACACTCACACACACTCACACACACACACACACTCATACACACAATGTCCCCCCACCCCCTCCTCACTGGGGGTTATTGGTGTCCAGGTCCAACCCACAGCATGTCGTACTCCCTGAATCCGTGGACAAGCGTGTATTGGCTGCCGCCGCGGAGGCCACCGCCCGAGGCCTGGCCCGCATCACGCTGCTGGGTGACCCCGCCACCGTCGCCTCGGAGGGGAAGAAGCTCGGACTGGACCTTGGCGGGTGCAGGGTGGTACACCCAGCGGTAGGAGAAGGGGAGAGGGAGTGAGAGAGGGGGGGAGACGAACCATGAACGGGTGAAGCGCGGGGCGGGAGGGGGGCCGGGGGGACGTCTGTTGGGGGGAGGGTGTAGTGGCGGGGTGCAGGAGCGGGTTGGACGTTTGTGTGGTGCCGTACAGAGGGGCAGAGGACGGCCGCCTTAAGGGAAATGGTGGGTGGTGATGATGGTGGCCATGGAAAGCAGCTGGAGGAGCTGTTTTGTGGTTTGGGTTTCAACCCCGTAATTGAAGCCCTGAGCTGCCCTCCACTTCCGCCCCCCCCGTCCCAAATTTGAACCCCTTCCTACCTAATTATCAACTGAACAACTGAACCCCTTCTTACCTAACTATCAGTAATTTGCTAGACGTTCCGCTGCCCGTGCGCCTCGCTCCTCGTTACCCCGTCGTAACACCCGTCGCCATCCGATGGGCCGCCGCGGCGCGGTTGACCCTGTGTGTGTGTGTGTGTGTGTGTGAGTGTGTGTGTGTGTGTGTGTGTGAGTGTGTGACCGTGGAAAGGTTGCTCGCTGCTGGCCCTGCGTTGCTGCACACTCCTGGCTACTGCCCCCCCCGTCCCCCCGCCTTCCCCCCCCAGTCCTCGGACCGTTTGGACACCTACATCTCTATGCTGGTGGAGGCGCGGAGGCAGAAGGGCATGACGGCCGAGCGGGCGGCGGACCTGCTGCTGGGTGGGTGGGTGGTAGTGGGTGGGTGGGTGGTAGTGGGTGGCGTGTCGGTCCGAGGCTCACGAGCTGGGCTGGGACAGCGGGAACACACGAGCCTTTGGGAGGGGGACCGCTGTGGCGGTGGCTCTCGGTTTGGTGTCCGTACTTTTCTGGTTGCCGTACTTACATATGTCTTGTCGTACAGGTGATATTAATTTCTTTGCCACCATGATGGTCGCGGCGGGTGACGCGGACGGCATGGTTTCGGGAGCCATACACACCACCGCCTCCACCATCCGCCCCGCACTTCAGGTAAGTAAGCTTAGTAGGTTTTTAAGGGGAGGGAGGGAGTGAGCGGAAGTAAGTATGTATGTATGTTTGTTTGGAATGTTGAAGGGGGGAAGGGTAGCGGTGTTGGGTCCCCGGCCGGTGTGCCCACCTCGTATCTCGGGCAGGCACCCCAAGCGTGGGGGTCCGTGTCGTACGTAAGTTGAGGCGGCTTCCCGGGGATAAGGGCGCCGCAGCAATACGCACGGCCAGGGAAAGCGCCGGTGTTTCCTTGTGCATGTATTCTAGCGGAGCGTATTGCGTCCGGTGCATGAGAAGCTAAGGTAGATGCTTGATGATGAAACATATGCACACATACAATCACATACAATCACATACACGCGCATACACACACATACACGCGCATACACACACATACACACACATACACGCGCATACACACGCGCGCCAGGCGTACGCGCGTCCCTAAGTTCCGAGCAAACCTTCCTCACGCCCAACTCATACACACATACATGCATACCTACATACACAAATACATGGACATACCTACACACATACACGCATACCCGTCATGTCCTCAGGTGCTCAAGACCCCCGACATGCCCCTCGTGTCTTCAGTGTTCTTCATGTGTTTGCCGGACCGGGTGAGTACGGCAAGCACGGCACTATCCATCAGATTTTTTCTAAACCAAATCCATGCATCTATTGATATTATCGTACGTGGATGTCAGTTGTGTACGACATGTGTGTGTGTGTGTCATCCGCTCATCCCCAAACTACCCACACGTGACGGACACCCGAAGTTGTGTTCTATGGCGTGCAGTATTTATACAGTGTGCTTATGTTATACAGTGAATGATGTTTAAACATCATGTAAATATATTATTATACATGTACGCATGTATGTATGACGTTGATTACACGTATGTATGTATGTATGTATGTATTGTATGTATGTATGTATGTATGTATGTATGTATTGTTGATTACACGTATGTATGTATGTATGTATGTATGTATGTATGTATGTATGTATGTATGTATGTATGTATGTATGGCCCTGCTGCTAGTAGCTACGTAGTAAGTGCCGCCACCGCCGTCGCCACTGTTGCTGGTGCTGCGGTTGCTTACTCTGTTTTCCAGGTCCTGGTGTACGGCGACTGCGCCGTCAACGTGAACCCCTCCGCCAGCGACCTGGCAAGCATCGCCATCACCTCGGCCGACACCGCCGCCGCCTTTGGCATCGAGCCGCGTGTCGCCATGCTGTCGTACTCGACTCTGGGCTCCGGATCCGGCCCCGACGTGAGCCCCGAACGAATCCGCCGCCGCCGTCGCTTCTTACGGTGGTAGTGGTAGTTGTGGTGGTTACCCGAATCTCGCCACCGTCGGCCCAAAAGAGGTGGCCTGGGTGGCCTGGGGGCTATCTGTATACGCTGTGTTTGTAGACCAGCGCCCGTTTAGCCGACGAAGCCGTCTAGAAGCCCGTGCCACCCTCTCGCCCTCTCGCCCCACTTGGCTTGCCTGACCTGACCCACTAGTAGCCGGGTTATCAGTTTGCCGACGCACATACCGACGCACATACCGACGCATGGACACTTACACGTCGACGCTTTAACGTCGACACCGACGCAGGTTGAGAAGGTGACGGAGGCTGTGGCGCTGGTCAAGTCCCGGCGGCCTGATATCCTGGTGGAGGGACCCATCCAGTACGACGCCGCCATTGACCCGGCGGTGGCGGCGGTCAAGGTCAAGGGAGGGAGTGAAGTGGCGGGCAAGGCCACGGTGTTTGTGTTTCCGGATCTAAACACCGGTGGGTCTTCGAGGGGAGTCGGGGCGCAGAGGGGAGGGAGGGTGCAGGGGTGGAGGGGGGGGGGAGAGGGTGGGAGGAGGGATGGTTAAGGGATGGTCGTGTGTGTGTGTGTGTGTGTGGAGGGGGGTGTTGTTGTGGTGGTGGGTTGTTGTGCCGGGGGGAGGGCGCTGTTAATCTCCCCGCTCTTCCTCCGGTCGTGACCTCTCCCCCGCTGCCCGCTGCCGCTCATTTCCGCCCCCCCCCCGCCGCCGCCCCCGCCGCCGCCGCCCCCGCCGCCGCCGCTGCCGCCGCCGCTGCCCTGTGTGCTGCTTGAGATGATCAGGTAACAACACGTACAAGGCGGTGCAGCAGAGTACCGGAGCTATTGCCATGGGGCCTGTCATGCAGGTACGGCATACGCCTTCAATGCTACCTGTGTTCAATTAATTCAGCTTTTTTATATGCTGTTCCTGATGATCCATGACGTCGAAATCCTGGCAGAGGCGTCTGGTATGTGGCGTTTGTGTGTGTGTGTGTGTGTGTGTGTGTTCTTTGTTGTCTTGGACTCATACCTTCCCTACCCCCCCCTAACCCCCCCCTAACCCCTCCTAACCCCTCCCAAACCCTCCTAAACGTTTTTCAATTTCCGTCCTCTCTTACCGTGCGTGTGTGCACAGGGGCTGTTGAAGCCGGTGAATGACCTCTCCCGCGGGTGCACCGTACCGGACATACTCAACACCGTGTGTGTCACCTCCATCCAAGCCATGCAGTTCAAGAAGAGCGCCGCAGCGGCGGCGGCGTCGGCGTCGGGGGCGTCTTCTGCTGCCACAGGTGGCAAGCCGAATGCGTCCGCTGCAATGTGAGCCCCCTCCCCGACGTGGTTGCGGCCTCGGGGGGACACCACAAGGGCAGAGCTGCTGTGTGTGTGAAGGTTCTGGAGGGACGAAGATGGGGGCAGACCTTTCTGGTGGGAGGAGGGAGAAGTGAGAGCGGATGAGGAACTACATGTAAAGCGGATCGTGTAGGCTGATGTTTGATGAATTGGCGCCATAGGACTGTGCGGTTTAGGGTGTTATTTCCTTCGCCAGGTGAAGAGCGGCTCAGCGGCTCGCTAGAAAGCGAGTACATGGTTGCATAGCGGCTTGGAAATGGAAGCGACGGGGGCGGAGAGGCGCGTGTGTACGTGTGTATGTGTGTATGTGTGTATATGTAGGAGGAAACGTGTGGAAGTGCGGACCGTCCGCCGCCCGTCTGCCATTTTTATGATGTTCACCAGGAGCTGGTTGCACATGTATGTTTGTTTGTATGTATGTGTGTATGTACATAAATATTCAGGCATGCCCGTGTGACGTGTGGAAGAATAAGAAGATGATCGATGACAGCTGCGATGCCCGGTGTTTCCCCTCCCTCCCCTCCCCTCATACCCACACATACATACATACATACATACATTTGTACCTCCTTGAACGTCACTGTTGCATGCATCCTGACTAGAAGGGCGAAAGAGTCCCTCGCCTTCCTTCGCCTGCACTGGCCATGTGGCCATTACGGGCCGCTAGGCTGGTCGAGTGTTTCGTTGTGTTTCCTATTCAAGCACCTGCGTTGACGATTTGCTACCTGGGGCAGTTGGTGGTTGGGCACGTGCTCAAATGGTGTCGCTGGTGTTGCTGGCAGCAATCGGGCTTCGTGGAATGCAAGGGCGGCCGCATCGCCAAGCAACGGTACGTAACGGTTTTGCGGCGTGCCTTCCTGTCGTACATACCGCGATACGTAACGCCACCGTGTCCGTGAGCCCCTGTGGCGGCTCGGCGAGGGCACTGGAAAGCGGGTGTTACCTGGGGAGGCGCGGGTGAAGGGTGTTTTCCTTCCCCGCTGAATGCCGTACAACACCCGGGGGGAGAATACTGCGGCGGCTGCTTGTGCAGCTCGTTTCTTGACGATGGCTGATTGGCGATGGGCGATGGATACCGTACGGCCAGGTCTTCGCTTAGTCTGTCAGACAGCTTGCATGGACGGCACCGGAATATGGGCGAGGACGTAAATGCGAGGACGCTGGCACAGGAGGAGAGTGAAGAGGGGGGCCAAGTGAAACGTGTTGGAAGCATTCTGGATTCGCGTCGCGTGTGTTTGTATGTTTGTGTTTTTTTTGTGTGTGTGTGAACCCTTTTCGAGTACACAAAATAGTTATTATTCATTCTCGAGGAAACAAACAACAACACGAACAAGACGAGAAAACGTGGGGAGGCCGTTGCCTCCTTTGCACGTTGGGATCTGAGAACCGCCGAGTAGTGTGTTGATTGAGCGAGGCTTATTTAAAAAGACGTTCTCGTGGCCGTTTCTTTTAGGAGTCTAGCGGTTGGATGCGGTTGGATGCGTACGGGAGTAACCTGCACTGCAAAGTAGGGGTCTTGAATGATGCATGACGGGAAAAGCGAGAGAGGCTCTGTAGAGCACTGCCGGTTGAGTAGTATCATATGCCGTTGATCCTTAGAACGTGATGTGATGAGGAAGTCAGGAGGAACCCGAGAGCGGGGCGTGCCTGAGCCTGACCAACCCATGGGTTTGTGATTCCCGTCATTCCTGTCATGACGTGATATGATGCTATCTATTGCAGAGGTCGTTTTTGCCGTAGACTCTCGTGGTATGGCGGGAGGTGAGCTGGAGCTGCCGGCAGGATGGGGTGGGGGCGCAATGTGTGCGTGTGTGTGTGTTTGATCGCAACGGAGTGCAGTTTTGGTGCTCTGCTTTTCGCGTGGGAGGGAAGTTGGAGGGGCACGCGGAAGACTGCGGGGGGGTGGGGAGGTGAGGGGCTGGGCCGCGCCGGCCTGTTCGTCAGTCGGTGAAGCATGTAGGCGGTGGCGTTTAGCCGCTCGCCGGTGAGGATCGTTTTGTCCGTTTGGTATTAGGATTGAATGGTATGTAAAGCGTCAAGCAAGGCAGCAAGATGTCTGCTGCGGAATGGCCATCGCTTAACAGTCAACGTTAGCGCTTCGCACGCCCGCTCCTCTTCCGGACGATTACACCAAGTACTTTATCGATCTATATAACAATATTTGTAAAAAAGTGGATTAGGTAGGAGGCCGCGCGCGCCTGGTTGCTCGTTAGAGACAACAGCATCCTTTTAGCCCAGATGGGATGAGAACTTCGCGCAAGAACGCGAAGTGCTTGATCTTTAGGACATTTTTTTCCTGTAAAAATAAAAGCTTGCTAGCGTGAGTTCTGTAATAATGCATTACGCATGATTATATCCACATACAGGTGGAGGTGAATTTTAAGGACGTCTTGGCAGCAAAGCATGTCCCGGTGTATCCTGTTTTTGTTTCGCTGACCACGTTTCGCTTAAGTCCCATTGCATAACGATGCCGCGGGCGCTCCGCAATATGTCTCACGAAACGAGAAAACGCTACTTTGGCAGAAGGTCCGGTCTTACTTCTCGTGGCACGTGTGCCCTGCCTTAACATACGTTACCCTCAGATAACATATGGTCATTATCACTCCTTACGCAAGCTCTTGCTGCACAGATTTTAAAGGATGGATGCTTGGAGCCGCTGCGGCCGACACTGCTGATATCGTTTATCCTCCGGAACGGAAGCTCAGCAGCAGCAGCGGTAGTTCTGCGGTCCCTGGAGCTCCGAGGAGGATCAGAGCTTGTAGTACAGTAATGCTGAAAAATTGGACGTTTTACAGAGTTGGGCGAGGTTACGTGTCTTGCGTGCGCGCCACGCATCTCCTCGAGGGCCGGCCCAACGACGCCCACCATTCGGAGCTAACAAACACAACCCCTGGCCAGAAGCCAATATTTGCCGCGGCTAATAGTAATAATGGTAGCTGTACGGTTGAGAGTCTTGACTGCCAAGCTGGCCTATAAGAAACCTTTGACCGGCATATCGGGCTGGTAGAAAACTTTTCGCCTTTGCGTGCTCGTCCTGCGACGTGTGGAGCGACGTCGTAGCAGTCTTGCATAACGACGAGTTGCAGCCGGGACGAGTTGTACTTAGAGCAGGCAGTTGATGCTCGTTAGGAGGATTTGCAGGTCGGTGCTATAGCAGCCTCAACCGTTGGCCTCAGGCCCCAGGTACTGCAATCAACTTGAAGCAAAGGCCAACAAGGGCAACTTGTTGCCCATATATTGCCGTCTGTACATACTATACATGATGGGCAATGTACTCATAAACGTGCCAGCCTTTTTAACACTACACTACGGCATTCACCCAGAAATGCGTTTTTGGCCAGTCGAAGCATCCAAAGAAAGAGTTACGCCATAACTTAAACGTCAACAGGCTGTTCAGGGGGTATTTTGCAGCATTCTTGGCATGTACGACGGAAGTCCTCAAATCCTTGATTATTGTGCTCCAATACCAAAGCTTAGCCGATAACAGCAGGTGTTGCACTAGCTACAAGAAGTCCTGCGCAGTACTGACGTTCGGCTTCATCCACATCGAAGAGGTTTGCATCCGCCTTCCTGCCTAGTGCCCACTCATATTCCAAATTACCTCATGCAATTAAAACAGCCGGAGTAGTGGTTTAGAGAAAAATACTGTTTGGGGTGCTGGTGGACTAGCTTGCTTCACTCTTCTACACACAATAGACGCCGCCCACTTGGCCATGAACCACCGCCATAAAAGCGATATTACCCTTCGGATGTTTCTATTTGAAGCCTATGAAAATTCTTTCGACACAGCGATGCGTTGGAAAGGTGACGACTTCGCGGTTGCCAAACTGCATTAGCTATTTTGTGGGCATACGCAAGGGCTGGCAAGGGCAGGACGCCAACAGCGGACGGCAAGCCTGAGTGGGGCCTCTGCCGTCGGCGTAACCGTGAGGCTCCAATGGCCTGCCGGGAGTAAGACTACAACGAAGCGCCTCGCGGAGGAGCAACCAACGCTATGCCTCATTCAGTTTCTCGTAGTCAGCGGAGCAGCAGCAGTGTAGGATCTGCTTCGTCTGCATTCTTGGACAAGTAAGTTGCTTGCACATAGCAAGCTGCACGGATTTCCACCTTTGCGAATGCGCCATCAGACAATTATCTCGTCACAACATTTAGAACTCTTATTGAAAGTTGAAGCTTATGTCCAAGAAACGCAGGAGTGTCCATCACGAATGTCGCAAGGAACCATTTCGCAGACCGCGCCTGTGCTCATACTTCTACTGTAGTTGTATTAGCCAAAGCGAGCGACATTCACTGCGCAGCCTGTTTGCCATTACGCGGCCCTGCCTGGGATAAGTACTTCGCTTTCCGAAGCAAATGCTTGAGGCCAGCAGCTCAGCCTGAAAGCATCAACTCGCCGTCGACGCCGCATGCATGCCCCTAATCTTAAAAGTCTGACGGGCCGCCAATTCTATCAATTACCGTTGAGCCATGTCCCCAACTACCCCTTAACATCCTCAGCTCCGAAAAAGAAAGCTCGTCTACAAGCCCACTATAACTAAATGTAGGAGAAATGTTCATAACCCTTTTTGACCTCTGGCTCCTCCACGCTGACGCCTGTAAGGCGGCGGCTGGCCGCCGACGTGCATATGTGCGTACGTGCACATGTACGTATACATCTATGTATTTCGTTCGTTCTTTCGTTCGTGGGAGGTTTCCTCGCTACCCGCCAACAACACCACTTCAGGCCTCTTTGCCCTCCCCCACACCCTCTATACACGCGCGCCCCACATACACACACGCACAACCCGCGGCCTTCCCCACCACCCATCTACCCACGCGCGCCCTAGATTGGAGGCAGAGGCCAGCGGAGCAGACATCCTAGACAACAGCTCGGCGCTCCAAGCCGGTATCTTCGGAGTGCTATTCACCGTTACCAAGGAAAAGTACAACACAGGTAATGCCAATAACAACAGCAGCAGCAATAACAGGAAAACGAAACGGACAAATGGCTGGCTGGGTGGGTGGGTGGGTGGGGTTGCCTCCGGAGTGCTCTTGTGTGGGTGGTGGTCGTGTGGAGGAGGAGGAAGAGGAGGAGGAGGAGGAAGGGCCTTCTGGCGCTGCAGTCGAAGATAGTTTGAAAGAGTGGGTGTATGGCAAAAGCATACAAAACATACATACATACATACATACATACATACATACATACATACATACATACATACATACATATATACATACATACATACATACATACACATGCAGATGAGGGGGGGCTTCCATTGCAAGGGTGCTTCATCATGCGGGTTGAGTCAAAAGGGGTTCAGGCGGGGTGGCTGTAGCAGTGGGGTTGGGGTTGGCTGCACGAATGGCGACCTGCAGCACATGCCGCCCTGCAGTAAAAAAGCGTGCGTAAAAAGTGCTGATGCAGCAGCTGGCGATGACAGCACTGGAAACAGCCGCAATGGCAGCCGTAGCAGCAATAGCAGTAGCTAAACCGGGTGCGGCAGTGGGAGGTCGGGGTGGGACGAGGGGGCGGGGGGTTAAGGCTTGACATTAGATACACCACCCTAGCAACTTGCGGACTGGTCCAAGCCCAACTGCGTGCAGCGCATCTGGAGGGGGGGGGGAGACGGCCCCGAACCCCTCTTCAGTGGGCCCCTTCCCCCTTCCGCCCGTCCCCCGTGTGTGTGGGGCCGCTCCGAGGGAGCTGTCCGTGTTAAGGGGGTGTTCGGGCGGTGGAGGCGGTGGTGAGAACTGCGACCTTGGGTCTCAATGGCAGGTGCGGTGCAGCCGAGCCAGTAACCCGCACCTGCACCCCCCAGCTCAATCGCATCTGCAGGCCAAGGAGCCTCAGGAGGCGAGGGGAGCGGGCGCAGCTCCTCGCATTTATGGATGAACAGAAGGAGGGGAGGGGAGGAGGGGGATGGGCCTCCGCTATTGTCTCATGGCCGGATCTCGGGGGTAGGGGGGAGGGGGGAGGGGGGAATGCTTGTCGTGTTCTTAACCTCTCCCTCCTTGTCGTATTCTCCATGACATCCCCTCAACCCAAACCCGCTCCGAAACCCCTCCGGCCCTCCAAACGCCCAAATACCCCCCTCCCCACTCCCGCGGCCAACAGGATGGCGCTTTCTGACACTCAAATTGGTGCTGGACTATTTGCAGCTCTTTACGTTGACATTCACCGACACCGAGCCCTGGGTGTTTGACGACAAGAACATGTAAGTGCCCTCCGTAAGGGTGGGGAAAGTGTTGGGCGCCGGGGGCGGGCTTGGGTTTGGTGGCTGGGTTTGCGTGTTTGGGCAACGTGGCTGGCAGGGGTTTGCGTGTGGTGTGTGTATGCGTGTGTATGTGTTTGTATGTGTGCGCGCACGCGTATGTGTGTGTGTCTGTGTTTTAGTGACCTTCGGAGCCGTGATGAGGGAAATGCCGATGGTGGCGGCATACAGTGATATAAAACTTCATATACCAAAGCGAGCTCCGTAATTGCCAGCGACGTGTGACGGACTTTTCCAATGAAGCTGTAGACGGACGTAGCTGCTGCTTGGGTTTATCAAAAGTGCGCATTGAACAGAAGAGTGTTATGATGAGCCCGTAGAAATAAATAAGCGCTGTTGTGGCGCTGTTGTGGCGAAGTGGCCGACGAGGTGTTAGGCGGCTAGGACTGCTAACTTCTATAGATAACGAGGGCACCTGAGGTCTAGAGAAGTATATAGAGCCTAAGACCCTATTAGCTTGCCCAAAAAGCAGAGGGTCATACTTGTGCCACAGCGCGTGATGCGACGACAAGAGCACATGGTAGGTGGCCCCTCCTCCCCCCCCTCCCGAGGGGGGCACAACGAACTCTTCCTTCCTGTGTAAGTTGGTAAAGCATGGGAAAGCGAAGGAAAGGCAAAGGATGTCGGCGGAGCAGCAGCAGCAGCAGCAGCAGCAGCGGGAGTTAAGTTAGGTGTTGTTGGGAAGATGTGCGAGGGTAAATGACCGAGGCGACAGGGCCACACATGCGTGTGTGTATGCGTGTGTGTATGCGTGTGTGTATGTGTATGTGTGTATGTGTATGTGTGTTGATTGGTTGGTTGGGGGGATTGGAGTGGGGGTTACGAAACAAAAAGGCGAATGATGAAAAAGGGGTTGGATGGGCTGGCAGCTCAGGAGCAGGAGGAGGGGAACCCTCATTTCCTGGGCCGTGTGAGGGGCTGTGCATGGAGCCGTGGTTGGTTTCGGGCCCCCCCCGTAAAATCCCTTTCAGTCCCCCCTCCGGAATAATGAACGGTTTCATTCCCCCATTCCATCCACGGGCCCATGCTGCCGTACTGTCCTGTCCTGCCCTGCCCAATGTAAAGTGCTTCCGCCCTCGTATACGTGTGTGTGCGTGTGTTTGTATGTGTGTTTGCCCTGACACGACTTCCTACACCGACACCGGTGCGGTTGACAATACTTGTGTGTCTGTATGTACGTGTGTGTTTTCCCCTCTCAGTCTATGGAAGGTGGCCCAGACGGTCAATATCGACCAGGTCGTTGCACCGCTGGTAAGAGAGGGGGGGGGGGGAGGGGGCCCCGGGAACAGGCCTGTGTGTGTTTTGGGGGCATGTAGGGTCCGCATCGAACTCAACAAACCATTGGCAGCGCCCCACCCTTACCCTTGCACTCATCCCGCCCCTCAAACCGCCCCACCATCCCATCCCACCGAAATACACACACACAGGGCTACAACTTCTTTATTGGTTTGCTGTACATCATGGTCGGCTTGCTGATGTTGATGATGGGGCTGTCGCTGTGGGTGGCGTGGTGCTTCAAAAACCGGAGCTTTCCATCTGTGTGGTACGGCAAAGGGTTGTGTTTTAGAAAGGGGGGCCAGAAAGGCGGGAGGGGAAAAGTGGTCCTCGATGATTACTCCGTTTGATGCGCGGAGGGGAGGGCAGGGGAGGGGAGGGGAGCATTGAGATAGCGGGGGTTGCTGGGGAATGCTGGGGGAAGACTCGTTAGTGCGGCTTGGGGTGGGTCAAATTGGGGGGTAGCTTGGAGGGCAGTTTTCATGCATTAATGTATTAATACAGCTGCGTTAATGCAACTATGCATACGAGTTGTGGATGGTACGGTTGCACTGACGACGGTTGGTTGATGTGCAGCTGATCATTAGATGCAAATTGGTATTCATAAATTTTGTTAGGTTGGATGGGATCTAGTGGGAGGGATCTGGGATGATGTGGGAGAGGAGCATCTCGTCCTATCCCAGGGTTTCGGGATCCCCCCACTCCACACCCCGCCCACTCCAACCCCGCCCCCAATCCATTCCCCCAGGCCCATCAAAGTTCTCCGGGTGTATGCGTATCTCTTCTTCCAGGTCTGTCTGTCCGTCGGTCTCTCTGTGCGCATGTGTATGTATGTATGTATGCATGTATGTATGTATGTATGTATGTATGTATGTATGTATGCATGTATGCATGCATGTATGTATGTATGCATGTATGTATGTATGTGTCTCTGTCTGTTTGTATGTATTGCGTACAGTGTGGGTAGAAGTGGAGGTATGCTGACCAGGTCAGAGAGCGAGGAGAGGTCAAAGAAGGGTCCCGACGGTCTGTTATGCGTGTTGTCCGTCTGTCTGTTTGTGCTTATCCGTCCCTCCCACTTTCGTTCCCCCGATCCTGCGTTCCACTGCTAGATTCTGGATGTGCTCACTTTGTCGCTGTTCCAAGTGCCTTTTAACTGCCGGTGAGTGGTTGGGACGAGGGGGAGAGGGAGAGGGAGAGGGGGAGAGGGAGAGGGAGGGGAGAGGGAGGGGAGAGGGAGGGGAGAGGGTTCCTTCGGCTTTCTCCCCTCCGGCCTCTCTTCCACTTCTTTTGGGTTTCGGCTGTTGTGGTGATGATGTTGGGCTGCCTGTGGCATCCTGTCGCCTCCTCCCCTGGGGCCTAAGGTGCCGTAGAGCATTGCGAGCCCTTCGCCAACCCCCTTCACCCCTTCCCTTCCCCTAACTACCGCCTCCAGCTGCATTCGTTTCTCCTGGGTCCACCATCATCATGATGACGAGTCCACCTCTCCCCCCCAGAGCTATCCCACAATACAGCCAGCCCCAGCACCGTTTGGCCAACTAACTAAACAGCCAACCAACTTATACAAACACACAACTCATGTTAAATAACTCCCAACCGTCTTAATCGTTGTAACGCAGTTACATCGGATACGATCCAAAGGAGGTTGACTACATGGCCAACTACCCTGACGTCAGTAAGTGCCGTACAACGGGAGGGGGGGAACAGGGGGGGGGAGAAGTGGGGGGAAGAGGGGTAATGGGGGATTCCCTCGCATCGCCCTGGCGCTGAGTCAGCAGGGGTTATCAGTATCTCCAACCCTACACCTCCACAACCCAGCTCACCCGCAACACCACCACCACCACCGACCCGCACTGTCCCCCCTTCACCCCTACCCTATCCAGAGTGCTCCGCCTTCCCCCATGTCGTGCACATGGTCACCAGCGGCTGTGCCCTTCTTGTGTTTGTGGTGTTTGCGCTGCTCAACCTTGGCGCGGACTTTGAGCTGTCCCCGCTGGAGAAGGGGCTGCTGACGGTGGCGAATGGGCAGGTGGAGGTGCAGGTGAGTGCGTATGTGTATGTATGTCCGTATGTGTGTATGTCTGTATCTGTGTATGTGTGTATGTCGGTGTTAGGGCTGGGTATGGCCACCACCACGGGGTTTATGGGGGGGAGTTGGTGGTGGTGGGGGGAGTTGGGGGGAACGTGGCATGCCGGTATAAACGGGAAGTAGAGGTAGGAGAAGACTACATACGCGAGTAGGGGTTTGTGGGAAAAGGATGGATGCATGGGATGACGCCCATCACACGCGCGCGTGTGTGTCTGTATGTGTGTATGTGTGTTGACACGCCCACCAATGCCAACCCGCCCCTCTTTTCTCGCCATCATCGGCCCTCCATCGGCCCTCCCCGTCTACAAGGCCTTCGTTGTCAAGTTCGCCATGACATTCGTAAGCTACGCAATCGGCTGGGAGAAAGTACGGCTCGTACTGCTGCTCGTACTCGCTGCCGCGTTGACGTACCTCTACCTTCGCTGGAGCCCCCACCTCGTCTCCTGGGTCAACCACCTTCGTGTCGGGCTGTACACATCCGTACTGCTGTCCGCCGTACTGGCTGTCGTACTAGTGCACGGCCCAGCGGGGCCGCCGGAGGCGCTTGAGGCGCACCGGCGGCGCATCACGACACTGCTGTGGGCGCTGATAGGGCCTGCGGCGCTGCTCGGTGCCGCTGCCAGCTACTGCCGTCTCAATGTGTGGAGCGCCTACGTGTTGAAGCGGTTTAGGGAAGGGCCCCCTGGAGAGAAGGCCAGGAGGATTTATAAATTTGGGGATCCACGGGAGGTGAGGTTTTACTTAGGGTTTTTGGGTTGGGGAGTGAGGTTTTACTTAGGGTTTTAGGGTTGGGGAGTGAGGTTTTACTTAGGGTTTTAGGGTTGTGACGCGGGTCATTCCGGTGTCATGCCGGTGGGCCCCCGACCAGCCAAAAAACCGCCCCCCTGCAACAACTTCCCCCTTGGACAGTGTCAGGCGACCAACTGTGTAACTGATCAACTAACTAACTGCTCACGTGCCCAATGAAACAACCGCCTAACCACCCAGGTTGAAATTGTTAGCCGTGTATGTCGCAAGTGGGTGGACCAGCACCGGGAGATCTTGGACAAGAGAGCGGTCAAGGAAGGGGAGATCATTATTAAGGCTGGGCTGCAGGTGGGGCGTGGCGGGTGTATGTGTGTATGCATGCATGTGTGTATGTGTGTGTTTTGGGGTAGGGTGGAAGGAGGATTGGGGGGTTTCGGGAGTTTTGTGGGAGGGGCATTGTCCGTATGTTTATCGGAAGTTGGACGACGCTTGGAGCAGCCACAAGGGATGTGCTCATTGTGAAGAAGTCCTTAAATCTACTTCGCGGCTGCTCTATGGGGGGAGAGAAATGGGGGAAAGAAGGATAATGAAACGTAGCCGTGTACGTCTGTATGTATGTACGTGTACATACGCGCGCGTGCGTCTGTAAGTGTATGCATGCATGTGTGAGCAACATTCTGTGTCGCAGTCGCTTCCCCCCCTCCTCGTGACCGCTCAAAATCGTAAATCCCCCCCCAATGCCCCCTTCCCTTCCATTCCGCCCGGGCTGCCCCCCCCCCTTTCCCCCCTTTCCCCCGCCGACACACACACACACACACGCGCAAACGTACCCCCCTCCAGCTCTTCCCCGGCCGTTGCTATATGCTCATTCTGTACTCCAACTACCTGATTGACGTACTGGACAACAGCCAAACCGGCTACAGCCAGATGGCCGCAGCCAAGCAGGCGGGGCCCGACTGGATGCAGCGCTTCGCCATATTCGCCCGGGAGCAAGAGCAGCTGCAGCGGCTGAGCAGCGCTCGAGGGGGGGAGAGCGGTGTGGATCTTGTCAGTTATGTGGAGTACCAGAAAAACCACCGACTGGTGATTCGGGCACATAAAGATGCGCTCATTGCCACGAGGACGTTTTGGCAGGTGGGGTGGGGTGGGGTGGGGTGGGGTGGGGTGGGGCGGGGTTTAGGAGGGAGGGCGAAAGGAGGTACGGTGTGTGTGTGTGTGTGTGTGTAGAATTGTTTACATATCCCACTGGACCCTAAGGCCGGGGGATGCTACCCATCCCCCTGGGTGAGACCGCCGAAGCACTCCGTCGTTGGAGGGGCGTTCCATCGGTCAGTGCCCAGTCAAGCCCTGACTGACATCCCAAGTCATCGCAAGGCGCCGTCACCTGTTCGAATCCTCCTCTACTCCTCTAGCTACCAAGCCAGCCGCCTCCCTTTCCCGTCCCGCCTTCAACCCCCTCCCTTCGGAACTTCCTCCACCCCCCTGTGTATGTACGTATGTATGTATGTGTGTACAGGTGCTCCTTCACAACCACGTTCGTTTCACTGCACTCGCGGCGGCGCTGAATGAGATCGAGCGAACGGTACTTAAGGTCAGCGCTCGTACATGTGTACATGTGTCTCGTATGCGTGTCTGCGTGTCTGTAATATGTGTGTGTGTGTGTTTGTGCTTATGTGCGTCTGTATGTTGTGTAGTTGGTAAAACTGAAGCCACCACCCCTGCCAACATCCCCGCCGCCACTGCCACCGCAACCCATTAGCATCTGTGTGGCTACTAAGGATTGGCGCGGCAGGGGACCCCGGCCAGCTCCCATGCAAACCTAAAAATGAGCACCCTCTCCCTCCCCCTCCCTCCCCCTCCCTCTCCCTCCCTCTCCCTCTCCCTCCCTCTCCCTCCCTCCCCCTCCCTCCCTTTCCCTCCCTCCCCCTCCCTCAACCACACACACACACACACGCAGGCGGAATCAGCCTACAAGATGGTCCTTAGCCGCTACCCTACAAACGCAAAGCTTGCTCGTACGTACGGCAGGTTCCTGGAAAATGTGGTCAATAACCCCTGGAAGGCCGCCAAGTACTATGTGTGAGTTGGGGGTTGCGACGATGTGTTTTGGGGGTTGGGGAGTTGGGGGGAACAGCCCCAATGGATCGCTGGAGCGCGGGCGCCGGGTCCCCGGGCCCAGCCCGCAAGCCCACTAAAGGAAGAACACGGACACGCACACGGCACACGGCGTGTGTGTTTTTCATCCCCCGGGGCCCCGCGGCTTCGTTTTTGCGTTCCCGGCGATCTTCCTGAAAACAAAACACATTCTTCAACATCCCATGGCTTTACACCTTCACCTACACTTACACACACCTTAATTTGTAATTAATTCATCGTGAGCCACATGCGCCACATGCGCCACACACCTGTGTACGACCCTCCTGTCAGGTTGGCTGAACGTTTGACGGAGATGCAAGAGGCGGACGAGGCGGCGGGGGCGGAGATGGCGGCCAGCGGCGGCGGCGGTGGCGGCGAGGCCGCCGTTGAGAACCGCCTGCTTCACAGAGTGGACGAGCGAGTGAATGCCGTATTCATCATTAATGCCAACGGGATTATTCAGATGGCAAATAAGAACGCCTGTTCGCTGCTGGGCTACGGTAAGGGCGAGCTGGACGGCAAGAACATTAACGTCATCATGCCGCCGCCCTTTAGTCAGCGTCACAACAAATACGTACGACAATACGCCCACACTGGACGAGAAACGGTTTTAAATACGGTGGTATCGCTTCCGGCTCTGCACAAAGACCGTTACGTGATCCCTGTCCGGGTGGGCGTTACGAAGGTGTCGGGCGCTGCGGACAGCAGCACCTTCATGGGCGTGCTGGAGGTGGGTTTCAGTATATCGGGTTTAGGGTTTTTGGCGGGTTTTAATTTGCATCTGGGCTTTCCGGGAGAGCATTTGTGTTTAAGTTATCACATGCCAGTGGTTGCGAACCTGTCTGCGTGATGACTCAGCTGCGAAGGGACCAGCAACAACACCAGGCCAGCCAACCAAAGTCTAGAGATGTGTGTGTGTGTGTCCGTATGTGTGTGTGTGTGTGTTACACCTCGGTTGCGTTACCCAGGTAGAGAGGTGTTACGAGTGCCCATACACGAGCCAGTCAGAGGCTCAAGAGCCTAGGAGCCAGACAACTTAGATAAGGGACATATATTATAAATGTGTTCGGAGCCGAAGAAACGTAGCAGACCTAGCAAGCTACCCGCTGGCTAGCTAGCATGGCAACAGAAAGGTTATAAGGAAAAGAAAGGCATATATTCAAGAGCATCTGTAGTGCAGTGTCCGGACGGCTATGTACGGCTATGTACATGGACACGTAAGCGGATGAGGTACGAAACTTATAAAGTGCTTCGTCTGGTGATGATGTCCTGTGTGCATGTGCGTCTGTTTGTCTGTCGTAACTCGTCGGAGGGGCAATGCCGCACTGAGTGAGAATCTAATAAGCAAGTGAGGATCACGTAATGTACGACGAATGTATACAAAATACATCCCTTCCTCTACCGTATCCCGCACATTCAGTTCGTGGTGCCTGGCCTTCCCGCCGGGGTTGGTACGGTTATCGCCATATACCGTGGCGGCTAACGCGGCTAACGGTCAACGGTCAGTAACCCACCTAACCCAAAACGCATCAACATAACACTACACACAACGGCATCTTGGCATCGCCTTGCGTGTGAAGAGTCGACATAAATGCGCTCTCGGGTGGTCTTGGACCCACCATCAAATGAGCCTTATAAAGTAGCCCTTTAAACAGCCTCCTTAACGCCTTCCTCCCTCCCCCCTCCCCGGCCCCCCTGCCCCAAACCACACATTCTGCCCGCGCACGTCAATGTACACGTACATTTTTTCTATATATGGTGTTACATATACACATACGTGCATACACGCACACAGCCTATAGCCCAGGAGCGCAACGAGGCCAACGTTTATCTCCTACCGGGGGGGACTGTGGCCGCAGTGGACCGAGCCTTCGTGGACTGGTTTGCCAAGGAGCTTGACGTGAGTCCAGGGAGGAGATGAGGGAGGGGGGAGAAAGGGAGGTGATGGAGGGGGTTCAAAGCTTACAGGGTTTTAGGGGTTTGGATTTGGGTTTGTACGGATGAGAGAGGGGAAAGAAAGAGGGAAAGAGGTAGAAGCGTTGCTAGCAACCACACATGTCTCTGTTGCCAGTGTGTCTCTTCCCCTCTCTTCCCCTCTCTTCCCCTCTCTTCCCCTTTCTTCCCCTCTCTTCCCCTCTCTTCCCCTCTCTTCCCCTCTCTTCCCCTCTCTTCCCCTCTCTTCCCCTTTCTTCCCCTCTCTTCCCCTCTCTTCCCCTCTCTTCCCCTTTCTTCCCCTCTCTTCCCCTCTCTTCCCC